TTATGAGCTTAGTAAATTTTTATGCTACATTTCGAGCAATAAATCTCATCATCGCTTTCGCTACAGTAATGCCATCCTCGCAAGGCTTGAAGCACTGGAAAAAGAACTATCTTCACTGCGATCAATGTTAGCGAAGAAAGCACCACCTACCAACAGGTATTTTCGAAATCGATGAGTTGTTTGTTCCATCCTTATGGAGTTCTATATGAAGTCTCTTTCAGCAAAACGTTTCCAGATGTACGTTTTCGAAATGAGGAAACTCGAAAACGAATTCTGGTTACCGGAGGTGCAGGATTTGTTGGTTCACATTTGGTGGACAAACTCATGATGGATGGCCATGAAGTTAGCCAAAGTTACATCTTTCCGTATTTTGGTACGTATTGACTGTGCTGTGTCGGATTTGATAAGTTTTAGGTAATTGCGCTGGATAACTACTTTACTGGACGCAAACGAAATGTGGAGCAGTGGATTGGACACCCTAATTTTGAGATTGTGCACCACGATGTCGTCAATCCTTATTTTATTGAGGGTTAGCTCTTTTTCGGTTGTTGTTTATCTGCAGCTTTTATTTGTTCATCTCTTCTTTTTAGTGGATCAGATCTACCACTTGGCTTCTCCAGCCTCTCCTCCTCATTATATGTACAATCCCGTGAAGACTATAAAGACAAATACCATAGGCACCATTAACATGCTCGGCTTAGCGAAGTTTGTGATTCTACTATTTCGAAAATTTTTTTAGTACGTATGCAAGTTTTTAGGCGAGTCAAAGCTACTATGCTTTTGGCTTCTACCTCTGAGATATATGGAGATCCAGAAGTCCATCCTCAACCCGAATCATATTGGGGGCATGTAAATACTATTGGACCACGAAGTTGTTATGACGAAGGAAAACGAGTGGCCGAGTCATTGATGGTCGCATACAATAAACAAGTGCGTGTTTTCTTTTTGTGCATATATCCAGAGTCATTGTTTTCTAGGAACGAGTGTCTATTAGAATTGCTCGAATTTTCAACACATTTGGTCCAAGGATGCACATGAATGACGG